TTAAAAACCATCCACTTTGCTGCCGGTTGTCCTCTTCTCTTTCCATTCACCTTTCCCAGCATTATAAATTTCTAAAGGGAAATAGGTTTTAATATAATAGTCCTGGACATGATCATTTGAGCCTAGTAATTGTGCCTCAAGTGAGACCTCTGAACTGATTTATTTTAGGAACCATTCACTTTTCTGGCTATCCATGATATTGTCAGTTTTCTCCAACACCAAAATATCAATAATCTTTCTTTTTCTTCAAAATCCAATTTTTGCCTCCATGGAGTGTCACAAGAAAAAAGCCATTGACTGCACAATTCTGATCATTATAGGTATAATGTGTTATTTTCCAAGGTCTTCATTGCTACCCTATAAGATGCTGGTCTGTGATGTGATTCTTATCTGTTTATTTTTTTACTTATGGTAGTTGATCCTAAAAAGCAGAAATTAATCACTACTTCAGTATCTCTACAATTCTAAGACGGTTTGATCTTTATATTTAATCTTTGTTCCATTTCTTCATTATGCTCTTTAGCTTTAATCTTGTAGATTCTTTGAATTTTCAGCTATCAGATAAAGGCTTTAGTATACCTCAAGTTTCTGATATTTCTTCCTGTCATTTTAAAATCAAGTTCCCCTTCTTCCACTGCAACTTTCCTTAATATACAGTATATTCAACATATAGGCTGAATAAATAAAGGGAGAATATGCAACCTTGTTTCATTCTATTGCCAAACTACTGTTCTATTCAGACAATAGTTTCTGTCCTTTATGTAGATTTTTCATGAGGACAGTGAGAGCTTCTGGGAGTTCCATTTTCTTATGTACATTTCACAGTTGAATTAAGGCACAATCAAAAGCCTTTTAAAATCAATGAAGAACATACTGACCGATTTGGCATTCTCAGTTATCCAGCATGCATCAGTTGAATGATCTAAACCTTGTTTTGTTACAGTGTGAAATCAAAGGATATATAATGCTCTACTTTCCTTTGATATGTACACAGATATCTTCCAATGTGTTGGCCATTGTATTATTCTCCAGCTTCATTGGCCTAATTTGGTTAGATTCTTTACTGATTCTTCCATGAGTTCCTTTGGCCTTCAGACACACTAATGAACTTATCTAAGTTTACCTTTTCTATTAAATGTTCTTATAAATAGAGAACATCTTCTAGATATCTTGAACGTTGAGATCTTTACTATACAGAATTTTAATACACTTCTTCCATTCTGGTTTGAATGTTTTTGAATCTGTTGCTATCTGTTCATTGGCAATTTTAGCATAAGAATGCAATGTTAGACCCCCCTTCTGAGTTCAGAGACATTTTGGAAAACTTTATTTTTCCATCTTCACAGATATTGTAATGTTGCTTGTTTTTTCTAATTATTCTCAGGTTTTGCCTGATATCTTTGCATCTTTTTTGGCTTTAGCTTCTCTTGTTTTGGCAATTTCCACCATTTGTTCTGTTTCTGCTTTCTTCTGTTTGCTTTTTTTTGTTTATCTTTGCAGGTCTCTTTTCACATTCTTCCTTAAAAATGTGTTTGATTTCATGCCACAATTTCACTGTTTTCTACCAATGAGGTTCAGAATAAATCCTGATGTTCTCTTTGAAAATGGTAGATATACGCTTTTTTTCATTTTAGCTTGACTTGGAGCTTGTACATGAACAGTTTGTAATCTGCTTCTCTGTTGTTATAACTCAGCTTTTCCATTTCTTTGTACCAATAATATAATCAATTTGTTTTATTGTATTCGACCTGGTGATGTCCTTATGTATACATGTCCTCTTAGTTGAAGATTGTATTAGCAATAAATACATCACTGGATTGAAGATACTAGCAGGTTATTCCATTGCTCCACTTCCCTTTTCTAGCTATATACTGTAATCCATCTGCATTTTCCTTCATACTATTTGCAACTCTGGCATTCTTGTCTCCAGTCAGAGGCAGACATCTAGCTTGTAAGTTCTGTTGATTTCAGACTGGACTTTATCAACTCATTAGTGGTTGAAGCATAAAATTGAGTAACTTCATGTTAAAGAATTGTTCACAAAGTCTAATTAATATGATTTGGCCATTGACTAGATTGTAACCAGATTTTTATTATTTATTTATTTATCATGTTTAAGAAATATCCATTTCTCTCACAGAGGGACCTGTCTTTGCTATATTCTGCTTTATGAAAGCATTCTGTTCCTTGTTTTGCATGTCTTGAGTAGTAAAGGATATGATTTTCTGACTAGAACAGCATTGGTCATGATAACTTTGTTCTGCACAGTAGTACGGTATTAGGGGAAGGATATCAGGTGAGGCACCTCCTAGGAAACTGGTGGTTGCAGCAGAAACTATCAAGTTGCTATCACAAAGCAGGTAGTGGGCCAAGTTGTGAAGACTCATAGGATTTGGGGAAAGTTTTTAAACCTCCAGAGTTCCATTTTATTGGCTTAGCTATTCTGCTACAATGATTTACATGGTTATTGCACCAGTTTTTTTAGGGGTTGATCAGAAGTTGGATTTGAAAGAGACAGAGAACTTCATTTTTCCTTCGTAATGGTATGTGGGAAAGACCTTGAGAAACTGGGTGAAGAGACACTGCCAAGAGAACTGTCTGATATGAGACAGCATAGCTTGCAGCAAGATAGTGAGCAAGGCAAGAGGTTGAGTACCATCCCTGGTTTCTTGGGCTTTAAAGAGATGGGGGAGGGGGGAATTTTCTTTCATAGAGAAGATTAATGTTGGCCTCATGAAGTAAACTAGATAAGAATCATAATTACATGAATTAATTATACTTTATTATAAAGCTACATTGACAGAAGATTGATACTGGCCTTGATAGGAATCGGATAAACTAATTCTATGTTATTGTAAAGCTACATTGACAGAATCTTGCAAGTATGAAAGTACAGTGCCACCTCCAACTCCTTTACAGCCTGAGAAAGTAGGGAGGGATTCTTCTGAGTCTCTTGCCTTTCCCATTATGTAGCCAAGGACTATGTTGTCTCTTATCCGCCCGTTCCTTGGCAGCATCCCTTCACACAGTCTCCCAACTGTCTTTCCCACATACTGTTACATCCTATGAATAATTCTGCAGTTCTATGTTAATGGCACTTTCACAAAATGGCTATCATGGTTCTTGTGGCAAAACATTCTCTTACTAGAAGGCAATCCAATGAGATTACTCGATGTTACTCCCTCTAATGCAGAGGTCCCCAACCCCTGATCTGTGGATTGGTACCAGGCCACATGCAACAACTGGTCCGCACAAACAAGCAAAGTCCCACCTGTGAGATGCAGGCAGCACACAAAATCACGCACTCTCTGATCCATGGAAAAATCTTTTCCCATGGAATTGGTCCCTGGTGCCCAAAAGGTTGGGGACCTCTGCTCTAATGTACTAGGCCACTCCATAAAAACTGATATTAGATTATTGTGGGCTACTGTATTAATTTGGTGTGTTGTATTTCGTAGTATGTCTGGTTACAGGCTTAAATGATTACTATTACCTCATCTTATTTTGTTTTTAACTAGAATAAGTGGGCATATTTCCAAACAAGATATGAATTGAAATTACTATTTTATTTTGTAAGAATGCTTCTGGATATTTTTGGAATATATATTATGACAGAGAGTGGTGCTTTTTTCAGAAGCAGGTAAATTTATTTATTTATTTATTTATTTATGAGACTTATATACCGCTTTAAGTGCAAGCACTCTCTAAGCGGTGTACACCAGTAAGCAATGTATATATATATTTACATTGCCCCCAACAATCTGGGTCCTCATTTTACCTACCTCGGAAGGATGGAAGGCTGAGTCAACCTTGAGCCGGTGAGATTTGAACCGCTGACCTGCTGAACACAGTCAGCTAAAGTGGCCTGCAGTACTGCACTCTAACGCCACAAGCATGCAAATAAACCCATTAAGTTACAATTGTTTTAATTTATGAATTGTATACATGAAAATGGAGTATGCCTATAAAATAGAAAATAGGTATCTACACATGCATATTATAAGCAACCTTATTGATTATAACTGAGGCTGAAATCCTCTGCTTACTAGAGTATATGGCACTGATCACAGTAGTACTATCATATTGTTATGTATAGAGAAAATGAATGTATAGAACATTTGGAGAACCAGGAAACTACTATAGCACCTCTATTTCTACCAAACTTCCATAATAAATAGGCACAGAATACAGTAAAGATTTTAGTGGTTATAAATGCTATTGAATAGACTGATGTTGTTTCATATCAATAAAATTACTTTTAGAACTTTATGACCCCAAATTACATAAAAATAGGATCTGTACCACTTTACTAGAACTTATATTTTATTAAACTTAATTAAAATTTGCATTCAAATAAGCAAACAAAAACTCTACCTTTAAACATAAAACTTTCACTGTTGCAATACAAGAAATTCCTATTGCTGGTTGCTGAAAAATTCTAGAAAACTGCAAGCACCTCTTTCTTTGAATCAGAATGGAAAATTGTTCTTCCCAAAATGTTTTGGCAAAAAATGAATGTAATAGTAAAGGGCCTACTGCATATTTAAAATCTTTTTTTTAAAAGGGACATAAATAAATCATTACCTATACAAATGTTGTGGATAATCATGGAATATATAAAATGCTTATACTCTTAAGATCACACTTATATGAATACAAGCATAAATATGCATATTCCTAAGTTTTTCTTGATTTTTTTTATTTTGATATTCTGTATACCAGTGGTTCTCAACCTTTTTAATGCCGTGACCCCAACCGGTCGTAAGTCGAGGACTACTCAATCGGTCGTAAGTCGAGGACTACTCAACTGGTGCAGCACTGTTTGCAGAATGGGACTTTTGGCGGCTCAGCAGGGCAGAGACAGCCTGGACAATTCCTATTGGCTTTTGAAAGCCAATAGAATTAGACTCTATTCAAGAGAGTATATTCTATTGACTTTCAAAAGCCAATAGAATAAAAGGGAGTAGCACAGCTAAGGAAAAGGGGGAAAAAATGGCGGCATGTGTTGTTTGGCGACCCCCGTGAAATGGTCGTTCGACCCCAAATGGGGTCCCGACCCACAGGTTGGGAACCACTGCTGTATACTGTATCTTATACAAATACACACAAAGATTAAATCTACAATCTAGTTTTGACAAATTGATTTTTATCTGAATAAAAAATATGAAGAATACATCTGAGTAATTCCATGTATATGTTAAACACCTATGCATAATTAACTACTAACGGTAGCACCTGCTGTTTGTATTTCCGTTGCAGGAGTATGAAATTTTTCAGAAGCTACACTATTGCTTTTCAACTGATTGAGAGAAAAAAGATCCATTCTCAGTGGGCCAAATCTCCTTTTTTGGTCAAACATTTTAATCTTCATTCTAATCATAGTTGCCACATTTTTATTATGCTGCTTTGTTAATCGTATGGCTGTTTTCTTTACCAGAACGAAATCAAATGCAATGCCACCCTTCCAAAATGTCCGTGACCTTTTCCATCTCCATCTCTGAAAATGTCCGTGACCTTTTCCATCTCCATCGCTGTGTCGCCTGCACTATCCTGTCACTAATCAATCACACAGTATTGTTCTCTGGAACAGTTGCAACCATTGCTAAAGAACACTGCAGCAGCACATCGAGATGGAAAAAAAAAAGGCTTCCCGATTTAAATATAAACAAATATATTTTACGCCGGCAGGTTGATCTTGTCATTTTTCCCTTAAATTTGCATTTATAATCAATCGTCTAATAGCCGTATTGTCTTTGCAGCCTCTAAAAAGCTCTCTTGATTGGGGCCATCAGATCTGGTGATCTGTGCCCATAATTTTCTTTTGTGGTAGCAGCGGCTCCTGACCGGCTGAGAGATGCGGCGAAAAGGGAAGCGTCAAGCGAAGCCGAAGTGGGTACCACTGAAGGCTCCAGACGTTGCAGAATGAGTGCAGACACGGAGGGCAGAAAATGGAGAGGGAGGACAGGAGGGGAGGGACGGCGGTGATCAGATCAGGCGTCCGCCTGGCAGAAGCCGCGAGGGTAAGCAGGAGGAGGCGAGCCTAGGTGGACGTTAAACCGGGGCAGCCCCTCTCCAGTCAAGGGCTCCAATTTCTTTGCAGATCGAGAGGGAAGCGGCGTGGCCAGAGTGGTTAGTGCACCACGAGCGTTGGAGAAACCAACCCGCTTTGGGCTGATGATAACCTGCCGGTGCGCCTAGCTGAGGCGTACCACTCTCCTCCCCTTCCCCTCCTCTTCTGGTGAGCCGGGCCGACTCCGAGGCTGGCAGACATTGGATCTCCCAGGCGCACGGGGAGGCGGAACAGCCCGTGGTAGAAATCCCAGATTCGGGATTGTGGAGTAATGAAAGAGTTTCTGTCCCCCCTCTTGCAGGGAGGCGGCTGCGCCAGTCCTCAGACAAGCCAGGTGGTGGGCGGGGGAGCGGGCGCTAAGGCGACGGCTCGTTTGCTTGTGCTTCGCCCCCCCTCTTTACGCGCGCTTATGCCCGCCTCTCCGCAGCCTCTAAGCCAGTCCGCTTCGGGCAGGTAGGCTACGAGCGCTGGAGGTGCGCGCCTACGTTGGAGTGCTGGTCTCCCGTATCGTCCCCCCTCCAATAAGACTCCATACGGCGCGCCTCCGACCTTTCCAGGAAAGGACCAAAGTGCCCTTTCACGCCCCTATTTCCCTGCCTTGTTTTTTTTTTTTTTTTGCACGTCCACCTCTCCGATCCGCGGGGGGGGCGGAGGGCAGTGGTAGGACGCGGCGCGCACTGGGGAGGTCTTTACGTCGGCCTCAGCTGTGGAGAATGAATTAAAGCGGCTTTCCAGGGGCAGCGGCAGCGGCGGGGCGCGTCTCTGGTTACGGTGCGTCTTACTGATTGAATGAAAGGTAACGGCTCTTCCACGTAATTCGAGGCAAGGCATCGTCGGTGCAGTCCCGGGAAGTTCCGTTCCCCCCCCCCCTTTCCCCAGGTTGCTTTTGGATGAGCCCTCCTCCTCCTTCAGTTTCCTCTTTAGAGCGATCCTATCCGCTAGGCCAATGGATGTAGTAAAGGGCGGGCGGCGCTTGTAGTCCGATAGTACGCCTTTTAAGGCTCTGGGTGGGAGAGGAGAAATATGTACGCTACTCCATTTGCAGACATCTGTTCAGGGTGTGCAATACTTATGTTAGAGGATGGTAGGAGGGTTTGCCAGTACTTTCATAGCAACCTTTTTCAGGCTGGTGATGCCTTCCACTCCTCTAATTGACAATGCCATATTGGCTGGGAATTCTGGGAGTTGAAATTCGACACATGGGGAAGGGGATCTAGTTTGAGAAGGCTTATTTGATATGAAAATGCTGTTTAATTCTTACCATATTAATTACATTTGTTTAATGAATTAAGGGGGGGTTGATCCACATAGCTGTATTGTTGTCTGAATCTAAACATGTTATGCAATAGACTATATGGATGGATGTATTAGATTCTTGCTCAGATTAATGTAAATTCGTATCAGGAATGAAGGACAAGCTTTTTTGCATAATGCCTTTTGCAAAAAAGAAAAAGGCCTAATAATAAGGATTGTAACTTCTATTACCTTTTTGGGAATTCATATTTGGCTCATGAGATTTTAACATACTCAGTCTGATTTCTACAGGGGGCTTGATGGTTTTGTGAATTATTGCAATAGAAAGAGGTCCTGTACTTTACCAAAATTAATACTGGCAGCTGCAAACACTTATCTTTCAAGAATGTGACTAGTGTTAGACCATCTCCTTAAAACTACTGTGCTCTTCAGAAAGACCTATTGGGGACCTTTCTCTTCTAAAAATCTATAACTGACATCCAGGAAGGAGGGAGCATTTATTCCAGTGTAAGGATCACTTTCCTTATTTATTTTGCTTTTAAAAATCAAAATATCCAAAGATTCTACTGTGCAGTGTTGAGAGCTACTGAAAATCCGAATTTTCATTCAACCAAGAGCTCTCTAACTTATTTGAGTTCTTTCAGTCTTGCTTTCTTAAATCCTTTCTGCTGAAAATGTAGAACATTGCTTTTTGAAAACTTATGTTGATGGAAGTACCGATGTTACTGTTTAGCATCTATTGCTTAAAAAATTCTAATCATACTGATTTGTTTGTTTTGAAATTCTTGTATTTTGCAAATAATGTTGATTATGTCCTAAGTTGCATTCTATATTTATGTGGGCAACTGGAGAAGTGTATTATAACTATATAAATGTTTTGTAAGGCATGATGTTTTTTTTTCCAGTGAAAAAATTAGAAGTTCTGGATAAAGTCTAAAAAAAAAATCAAGTACTTTCTCCTTTAGAATAGTTGAAATGTTCTTAAGGCACATTTTTACTCTTTCAGAATATATCATTTAAAGTTTCTCATACATAAAAATTGAGAGAATTAAAGGATAATCATTTTAAGAATGGTCAGAAAGATCGGAAGGGGAATCTGAATCCTTTTTAATTTTTTTGTTGAAAAGTTGGGGAAAATAGATTATAATTTTATCTAGATTGTATTTGTTTCATAGAGAACCTTTACCAAAATAATTTCTGTTAATTATCTACCAAGATAATTGCAATTCCTCTGACATTTTCATGAGTGAATAAAGAAGGAATCAGTGTCTTATCTATGAGTGGACTTGATCATATTTGTAATCAAGTGTATAGTGTTTCTGGTCTTCTAGAAATATGACTGAGACTCAAATTACTGAAAGTGCTCTGGAATAAGCAGCAGTGCATTATTCCAGTGGAGATTAGATAGAAACAAAGGTTCACCTCAATTTAAAAAAAAATTCTGGAAATTTTATATCTTTATTTAGATAGTACCTTGAAACCCAGTTTTCATGTTTTTCATACCTGAGGCTAAATATGTCCTTGGACCAGATTCTTACCTTTTTGACCATGACTTTATAGTACTATATAGTACTGTCATTGCTACCATTCATATTTGAAGCTGTAAGTCAAAACTATAATATTTGGCCAACTATCCTTCATATGAACTACAATTGAAAGAATTTTCAGTTCTTGTGAGCACTGATTTTTTTTGAAATTCCGGAAAAATCTTACTCCTTGAGGTGAGATTGACTCCTACCTTCCTGATGTTTTGATTGAGCCTTGAGACCTGGCTCTGCCTGATGACTGGAAACTCAATGGGGAAGCTTCGTACTGGAGGAGGTTGACTAATTAAAATTCACTTCCTCCCCCCCCCATGTATCTGGCTCTCTTCTTTGCCATCTTTCTCCTTGATTTTATTTGTTAATGTTTTATTTGCTGTGTTTTTGGCAATGGATGATTTTAATGGTTTTTATTGTTTTTAATGTTGTTAGCTGCCCAGAGTCATTGTATACAAGATTGGTGACAAATAAATTTTTAGACATAGATACATAGATAGATAAATGTTTTCTGAAGGACTGATACTCATGTTTTCCAAAAAATAAGACTAGGTCTTATTTTTTGGAAAACATGAGTATCAGTCCTTCAGAAAACATTTATCTATGTCTAAAAATTTATTTGTCACCAATCTCTTATACAATGACTCTGGGCAGCTAACAACATTAAAAACAATGAAAACCATTTGCTCCAAAATGAAAACAATGAAAACCATTTGCTCCAAAAGACACATTAGGGCTTATTTATTGGTTAGATCTTATTTTCAGGGAAATATGGTACTAAATATGCCATCTGGCTGACGATCTTAATTGGGGCTTATTTTGGGGATAGGGCTTATATTATGATCATCCTGGAAAAATACTAGGGCTTATTTTCTGGTTAGGTCTTATTTGGGGGAAAACAGGGTATGTAGGAGAACTTGTTCATTGTTGTTCAGAATACAGAGCAAGAAATAGTGGGATTAAATTACAAGATATCAGAAACAATTTCCTAACAGTAAGAACTGTTCAACAATGGAACAGTCTGCCTTGGAAGATGGTAGATGGTGTATGGCCCTCTAATAGTGGATTCCTATTCAAGATCTCATGAAAGTTACCTAAGCAAACTATTTAGTTGTCAAGTTATCTAATTTTAATATCCTCTAGAGATATTCTTCAGAGTTACGGATGAGGAGAGGTTACTTTTTCTTCTATATATTTCTGTATATAGGTTTAGGCTTCTGGATGTTACCATAAAGGAAGACCTGACTGGGAGTGTTCATCTTATAGCATTGCTTAAGAAGGCCCAGCAGAGATTATATTTCATGAGACTTCTCAGGAAACAACAACTGAATGAAAAACTGCTGGTGACCTTCTATTGTTGCTCCATGGAGAGCATTCTGAACTATTGCATTTGTGTGTGGTTTGCCAATTGTACAGTAGCAGATAGGAAAGTGTTCCAGGGGGTCATTACCATCGCCCAGAGGATTATTGCTGCCCTCAACTCCCCCCCCAGGACGAACTGTACAGTTCCCGTTTTCTTAGGAAAGCTCAAAACATTCTTAAAGAATCATCTCTGACATTCGTTTTTTGAACTATTACCATCTGGCAGATGGTACAGGATAATAAAAACAAAGACAAATAGGCTGAAAAATAGTTTTTATCCCAGAGCTGTAACCATATTAAATACCACTGTATAGTGCAACATTGAAGTGCAATATTAGGGGCAGCGCAATGGTGAATAGAATGTGAAGGATGTTTGTATATAATGTATGTTTTTATTTGTGGTTTTTACTTGTGTGCAGTGTGCACTGTGGACAGCACTTAATTTTGTTGTGAGTTACACAATGACAATAAAGATCTATTCTATTCTATTCCTATTTTAATTTCTATTTCTATTTTAATTTCTATTTCTATTATTCTACTCTACCTCTATCTCCACTCCACTCCATTCCATTCTATTCTATTCTATTCTTGATGGAGATATGCAAGATATATTGCCAGGGCAATGGGAGATAACTTATTTTAACCCCACAATAGACAGATAATATTTAGAAGTGACTTGAGCAGACACCTCCCTAATTTACTGAACAATAAGCAGAGGGTACAGCACAATCAGACTTGCAAAATTCTGTTATAGACAATCTCAATGAAAGTAGTTTTAGCCTTTCCATTTTCTGGTTTCATCCACCTAGTAGGCTGACAAATTGTTAACTTACACCCAGACAGTCGGTAGAAATGCATATGACATTTATAAATGAGTATAAAAGTCAAATGAGATGCACGCTAGAAATATGGAGAAAAGATTGGTAGTGTTCAGGCAATTGGTATGTCTTATGTGTTTGGGGAAAACATGTTTACTCTGCAGTTTTTGGAATGTGCTTCAAAGTCTTCCAGTATTTCTTGTTTGTTTTTGGTCCTTATTAAAATAATGCATGTGTAAATTCATTGAAAGAAAACACTTGTCAAGTTTTCCTGCATATGATTTGAATAGAATGGGACTATTTGCTGGTAGTTGTAATTGATGCAGTGAAAAACACAAATGATCCAATTTGGGATATGAGAGATTGGCAATAAGGACAGTATTGCTTTTTTAGATAACTGGTATTAGCAATATGTATCAGCTGGAGTAACTAATAGTTTTGAACAATTGTTCTTCAGAGATTATCTAGCAGTGTTAGGTTTACCGTCTCTGACATTTCTTGAAGAACTCTTATTCAATTTAGTAGTTCCTTGTAACAAATGGTTTTCAAAGGGAGTTATATAACTGGACATTTTTTAAAAAATTTTTTAAATGCATATGCCTAAATTCGGCACCAGCTGAAGTATCATAAGCAAGAACCACTAAATGATTTAAAGCTCTTAAGGTAAAAGTCACTTTAATCAGGAATGTGTGGCAGGAATACAGCACAGAAAGAAGTCATACTTTAAAACATCCATGCGAATGCTTGGATGGGAAGGGATCAAATTCCATCTCCTCTCTTTCTTTTCTTTTCTTTTTCTTTTTTCTTTGTGGGAGGGCAACTTG